CAGCAGGACATTAAAGCAGATGCTGAGACTCATATCCAAACTTTGGGCAGAGTGCAGGAAATCTTATGAAAGAAGGGGGAGATAAAAAAAGACCTGGAAGGGTCTGGAGTGCCACAAGGAGAACAACAGAACCAAAAAATCTGAACCTAGGGGTCTTTTCTGAGACTGATACTCCAACCAAAGACAATCCATGGAGATAATCTGAACCCCCAATACAGAGGTAGCCCATGGCAGCTCAGTCTCCAAATGGGCTCCCTAATAAGGGGAACAGGGCCTGTCTCTGACATGAACTCAGTGGCTGGCTCTTTGATCACTTCCCCCTGAGGGGGGAGCAGCCTAACCAGGCCACAGAGGAAGACAATGCAACCAGTCCTGATGAGACCTGATAGGCTAGGGTCAGATGGTAGAGGAGGAGATCCTCCACTATCCATGGACTGCGGAAAGGGCATGAGAGGAGATAAGGAAAGGAGGGTGGGATTGGAAGGGGTTGAGGGTGGGGCTACAGCTGGAATACAAAGTGAATAAACTGTCATAAATAAGGAATTATATTTTAAATAAATGAGATGAAGAGTGATGGGTACCTGACACTGAGCTCTAGACTGCCCATATGTTAGAACATATGAACACACTCACACACCACTAAATGCACACACAAAAGAATTGTCATGGTTTGGTTTTTGTTCTGTAATTTAAAAAAGAAGAAAAAGAAAGAAAACATTCTGATAAAAAAAAAAGTTGGGCATGAAAGGGTTTACAAGTTTATAGTCTGTCATTGGAAGAAACCAAGGCAAGAACAAAGCAGGAATCAAAGCAGAGCCCATGGAAGAATGGTCTCTTCAATACTTACTGGCTTGCTTCCTGCTTCTGCTCAGCTAGCTTCCTTCTACAAGCCAGGACCACCAGCCCAGGGTGGCACTGCCCACACCATCGATTAACAATCAAGAAAATGTCCCACAGGCATCGCCACAGGCCCCTCTGATGGTGATTCCTCAACTGAGCTTCTCTTTGACCAGGTGTGTCAACCAAAACAGCTATCACAAGAATCATACAAGAAAACATTGTTTTGTTTTGTTTTGTTTCTTTGAACAAGCTTTAATTTCCCTTTGAATATTCCGGTCATTAAATTACCATTTAATGACCATTTAGAAGTTACTTATCCATAACCTTTAAGGCCATGTCTAGAGAGCTATGCACAAGTAACTGACAGAACTTAGTGAGTAACCTGATATGAGGGCGGAAGGGATGCACCACACTGCTTAAGCTTGGAGCCTTGGAGCCGGCTGTCTGGGAGTCACAATATGCATGTACCTGGCAGCCAGCCAGTTAGGACTTGCTTAATGAACGAATCAGGGAAGCAGGAAGAGGGAGCACATTTTGTGGAAAAAGATAGATTTGATGTTGGATATATGCATTTCCCAATCAGCACTTAAATTCCTTGTCTTCTGGGTCTGTCTGAGCAGCACTCTCGCCATCCCTCCCTTATTTGGGTGTCTGTCCTTGCCACTGCCATTTGGGCTGACATGACTGCCTCTTCTTGGAGGAACAGCAAGATTTCTCTTTGAAGCATTACTCTCCCAACTTACAAAGTCTCGCTGGGATTATCAATCAGATCCTACCATAAAACAGGACAAAAAGAGATTCTCCTTGACTTTGAAAGCGTGAACAGAGTTCCCTACGAGCAGAGAAATCCGCTGGTGTTCACCCATTCTTACTGTGGTAGTTTACATTCTTTCATTCCTGCTTCCTGGATCCGTTGGCAGTCCTGGCTTCTGCCCTTTTCCCTTTGTTCTCATCCATTTGATGAATTACTGAGTGTCCTAATAAATCTGTTTTGTATAAGTCAGTCCAATACCTGGTCCTTGCAAACAAACGAACAAGAATATTAAGTGGTGTTTAATTTACCAGCTGCCTTGAGCTTCCTCTGCCGGCCCCAGACTCTTCCAGTCTCGCTCCTGCACTGGGAAGGTGTGTGTTGCCGCAGCGGTTTCTGAAGTCAGTGCCGAAGAAATGAATAAAGGGAGAGAGTCAGTGTGGGGAGAGGAGACCTCTCCTTGATGGATCCAGAAGTTGGCTTTTACAAAACCAACAAATTGTCATCATGATGTGACACAGACTGTGTGAAGACCTACTCAAGATATTTCCGGCCACAAAACAACTGTGTTTCTTGGTTGTATATAATCACAATCAGTTATTGAGTACAACATCTATCCTGTGTTCCATAATTTAATACCATCAAAAGATTAAGGAGTTATCTTCCCTGTGGGGAGTAACTCCAAGCCATAACTACACTATTAGTCTTAAATTGCTTCTCGTATATTACATTTTGAGAGGCAGGACCTTTGGGTATTCACTTTAAGTACTTGCATTGTCAAATAAAAATACAGTTGACTTTGAGTTGACTGGTTGAAAACTTTGGCCTTTATCCTTCAAACAATTGATGAAGAATTGTCACAATAACATCAGTGTTCAAAGAAAACAAGTCAAAATCCAGTGTTCAAGCTGACTAGAAATAACAGTTATTCCAAACAAAAGTTATGGAGCTTGTAACAGCCTTTGCTGGTTGCACACATGCTATTATATCTACCAAGGTGGTTGTTTTCTTCTTAACCCAAAATGCCTCATCCTTCACAAGCGAACTCAGACACCCTCTAGCTTCCTGGAGAGACCAAGTCACTTCATCACGTCTGTTCTCACAGCACTTCTTTCAAAATCCTGCCCAGGCGTCAAATTCAGAGTGAGAACGTAGACTCGCAGGTGCAAGCACTTATTGCTTCCTTGGTAGAGAGTCTTGAGTTTTGCAAGGTCAGACACTCCTAACCTGACCGGTAGCACAGCCCTGGGAACGGCTGGGAGGACATAACTTGGGCTAACGCCTTTCTTCCCCTACCTATTTAAATGTCATACCATTTGGGACATGCCGCCTTTCCCAGGCCAGAGGAGCTCAGAGACACTTGCAGTGCCATCTCTGCTCAGCGGGCTCTTGTCCCAACTGTAATAGATCTATAGATCTGCGATGCTTCCCTTTTCTGTAGCCACCATAATGAAATACTACAGACAGTGGAGGACAGGGCTATATTTGTTTCTTGTAGTCGTTTTGGCTTCTCCTGAGGCTTCTTTCCCTGTCACATAGATGGTCTTTCTTTCAGCATACACACTCCTGGTATGCTCAGTTTTTGTCATATGACACAAGGCTGGGTGTAGCGAAGTGGCAGGGCACTTGCCTGGTGTGTGGCTCTGTTTCATCTCCAGCACAGGAAAAGAATATATATATATATATATTCTTTATATATATATATATATACCAGCCATACTGGATTTGGTTCACCCTAAACTTAATTGTCCCTTGAAAGGCCCTCTCTCGAAACACAGTCACATTCTGATATAATGGGGGAATGGGGGTTAGGACTTCAGTATTTGAATGGAAGGAGGCATCAGTCTCCCATGTGTGATTAGGCCGGTACCTAGGTACCAGATGGCAAAGGTGGTAACAAGAACTTGGTTCTCATTTGAGGAACTTTATTATTGCTCTGCTCCTTTCTTGGTGAATTGTATCTCCAAGTCTTTATACAACAGTATTTTCTTGACTTTCAAGCCTTCCCACCTTCATCTGAAGAGGACCATCCTGGACTAAATTTAAAGTGACCCTAAGAGCCACACACCGCAGCAGTTTTCTTTCTTCCACGGTACTTGGGAAGGGTGGTAATGTGTTTTAGCCCCTTGGTACTCTCCACAGTCTCACTCACAGTTATGAGAAAACGTGTTTCTGTAACCACTTAACACATTATGTCTTTATTTACTCCACTGAGAAAACCTGCAGGGCTTTTAATATCCGGAATGCTTTATGAATCTCAGCTTTACCACTTCTCCAGCGGGTTGCTTAACGCATGACAGTGATGTGTCCCTCAGTGTTCCTACAGGGTATGGCACCCACCTCGGAAAGTGACAGCCACCGCATGCAAATAAATAGCTGGCACGGTGTAAGCTGTCTTCCAGAGTGTGGAACCCGAGAATGGCCTGACAGAAATGTCTTTCGGAAGTATGGTGAGCACTAAGCGGAAAAGTAGTAAATCTACTGCGTTTTTAATTATTCGGCTTTTAGAAAAGGTCTCAGGGTTTATTATTATTATTATTATTATTATTATTATTATTATTATTATTAATTTACATTTATTTATTGTGAGGTGGGGGTATGTGTGGAAGTCAGAGAACAACTTGCGTGAGTCCATTCTGTCCTTCCATCACGGGGTCCCAGGAATCAAACACACTTCGGGCTTGGCAGCAAGTGTCTTCACCCCTAAACCATCTCTGGCCCCTTCACAAGTTCTTTGTCGTCGTTCCCTGCGTACATCTCCTGCTAGCTCCCGCTCTTCTTCCTGTTTAAGAGGGAGATCCTTCAGGCTGAAAGACGCACAGCGAACCGGTGCGTGCGTACATACCCGAGGTTTTCGGGCAGCGGTGCAGGCTCACTCTGAAGCCACGCAGCCTGGGGTGGTGGCCACCACCTTCACTCTGTGACTGGGCCAGCGTAGCGACACCAGCGGCTCAAGGCTCCCGAGAGTTCTAGAAAACGAGCTACAGAGGGAGCTCGACCTTCGTGGTTTTTGAAGTTTTCATCACTGGCAGTAGCCTCGGCTGAGAGTTACGGAGGCTCCGCCCACCACAATCGCCGTCGCCCCCGCGGCGACCGGGGACGGGCCACGCTCCCAGAGGGAGAGAACCCGGCACTTGGGCGGAGCAAGACCGTGTGCCGGGGGCGGGGCAACACGGAGGGGTGTGGCTAATCGGGGGCGTGGCAAAGGGGTGGGGCCGCCTAAAGAGCCGCGACTCCGGAGGCGACGTACGAGGGGCGGGGCAAATTTGGTGCGACGTCACGCTCCGCGCTTGACAGTGCGCAGGCGCGGTGCCGCGGCTAGCCTCTGGAACTGAGCCCAACATGGCGTCCGAGCGCAAGACTAAGTTATCCAAGAACCTGCTGCGCATGAAGGTGCGGGGGTTGGGAGATGCTGGGAGTCGGGCGTGGCGGCCGAGCTCCGAGATGTCCCGTAGTGACTCGGGCCGAAGCGACGGGCAGACTGGACCCCACACTGGCCCTGGATGGCCGCCGTCCTCGCACCCATGCATTCGCTCAGCCTGAGGGACACTGGGCACCAGGGTGAGACTCGCCCGAAGCCCGCTGTGGGGAGGGAGCTTTGTACCAACGTAAACAAGACCCCGCACGGTCGAGTGCGGTGATGACCGGAAGTGTCTGGGCCGCCTGGGAACTTAGGCTTCTCGCGAGAAGTGGCGCTTAAGCGAGAGGTTGTCAGGTAGTGTCCTAAACTGAGGAGAGGTGGGTTCAGAAGCAAGGAGAGGAAATGACGGACGTTTCCTAGAACGAAAGGTAGCTCGGACGTCTGAAAGACAAGGAGCAAAACTTAGTGCTCACGACAGCCAAGGAATTGTAAGCCAGGCTGAAGTTCTGTTCCCATTGGCTCATGAGCAGTAGGAAACTGTTGAGCCCCGGGACAGTCTCATGAGTTGTTACTTTTGCTACCTTTAACTGTACCGTGGGTGATAGTGAGAGAATGCCCAGCCCGACAGCATGTAAGGTTACTGTCAAAAAGTCCAGCTAAGAGTTTCAGTGTTCTGGATGAAGGTTGCCATCGTGGTGGGAATGGAGAAAATTTTAGCAGTGAGGTGAAATGAGCTGTCCACCGATTTTGAAACAAAATCGGTTTTTAAAAAGGTTTATGCTGATTTCTCTTTGTGTGTGCCTGCACGTCTGTATTTACACCATGGGTGTTCACGTGCCTGTGAAAGCCAGAAGAACCTGTTGGAGCCCCCGAAACAGAAGTTGGAAACTATCAGGTGTGGGTACTGGGGCCTCTGCCAGAGCCAGGAATGCTTTTAGTGACTAAGCCACCTTTCCAGCCCTGTGATTTTTAAATTTGAAATGAAACCAGCTGTAGCGGCTTGGTGGTGCACTTTTGTAATCTCGGCACTTGGAAGGTAGAGGCAGGAGGAGCAGAGCTTCTGTCAGCTCCTTAGCAAGTTTGTGGCCAGCATGGACCAGACATGAGGCCCTGGCTCAGAGTGTCAAAAAGGCAGCAACAAAAACTGAGTCAGCCTAACATTCATCTCAGAAGGAGAGTAGGTTAAGGGCAGATGAAATGAACACAGGAATTAAGACAGGCAAAGGCTAAATCTTGAAACTTAAATAATACTAATAGAACATATTTATAGTCCTTTCTATATTCTGACATTGTTCTCAGTGTATTGTATATAATGAGCCACTTAATTTACATAATGACATTTGAAGTAACCTCAATTAACGGTATTATAAAAATGGATTTATCCTACTTTATAGTTTAGCCACACAGTACACTGTAGAGTTCCAGTTGTTTACCGTAAGATGATGTGGCTCTCTGCTCGCCAGCACCACAGTAGAATCTTCTACTACATATGGCTAGCCCAGGAAAAGATCAGAATTCCGTTCTGCTTTTGATGGGTGTTATCAGATTCCCAGCGTCTTAAAGGTGATTCGTTAACCCTAACCATTTAAGTCATAGGTTGTCAGTGCTTATGGTGAGATGAAAACTCTTAACTTGGAGGCCATGTTTCCAAGAAAAGGAAGTAAGGTATGCAGGAATACTGTGAAGAGCATCGGGGAATAAGCGTTCCCTGCAAGCTTTGAATGCAGTCAAGCTGGGGTGCAACCATGAGTGAGCAGGATGAGGAAGGAGGTGGGGCAGGTTGCCCCTAATTTAGTTTGGGGAGTACTTCCATCTGTGTATGAGCAAAATCTGCATCTGCCAGTTTTAGCAGTTTGGAATCATACTGATTTCTGAGAACGGGAGTGGCCCCAGGAAGCGGGCCCCAGGAAGCACTGAATGTCTTAGCTCTTAGGTTAAGTCAAATGAGCATGTGCTAGGCGGTCAGGGTGGACCACCAAAGATCTGGCTCTGGACCTGAAAATAATGAAAGCAGTTCTTTCCCCTCACCCAGAGGCACAGGATCCAAGTGAGCATGACTGGTGTGTGGGAGGGCACTACCCACGTTCTCTTTGCCTCAGCCGCTTTATTGACAGAGACCTTGCTGGTAGGACAGAAGATGTTATACACAGGTAGAGCAGGGTGTGTGAGGAGGAGGCATGGAGCAAGCACAGCCAGTGTGGTTGTTCAGCTAGAGCTAATAGGGAAAGCACAGGAGTGCCGAACACTTAATCCTGGCTCACTTTGTTTTCAGTATTTTTTTAATTAAAATTTTTAAAATTATTTTATGTGTATGGGTGTTTTCCCTACATGTATGTCTGTACCATGTGAGTATCTGGTGCCCAGGAAGGCCAGAATGGAATGTCAGGTCCCTATGAACTGGAGTTACAGGGAGATTGTGAACCCCAGTTTGGGTGCTAGGAGTTGAACCTGGGTCCCCTTCAAGAGCAACCAGTACCCTTAAACAATGAACCATCTCTCTAGTACCTTTTTTATTATTATTACTTTTGTTTCTCTTGTGTGTGTATCATGGCACACATGGAGGTCAACTTACAAGAGTTGTTTCTACTTCTAGCATGTGGGTCCTGAGGATCAAACTTGGGTTGGCAGACTTGGCAACAAGTACCTGTACCCACTGAACTGTCTTACCAGGCCCATCAGTATCTTTGAATTCCTCTGGCCAGGGCAGCTATTTTGGATGGAGGTTCTTCTGGTGGGAGAGAAGGATTTGGATAGATTTGCCAAATGGGTGTGGTGATTTGGATAAAGAGGGTATTTGTGGTTTTGGCTCTCTTCTTGGCCTTAGAACATGGCTTGGTGCACTTACTTGTGAAGGCCAAGAGAGTAAATATCCTCGGTTTGTAGGCCAGTGAGGGCCCGTTGCACTACTCAGCCCACTGCTGTTACAGCCCAGCACTGAATCGGCATGAGTGTGTTACATTAATCCCAGTACTCAGGATGCAGAGGTGGGCAGATCTCTGCAGTTCAGGGCCAGCTCGGTCTACAGTTCCAGGACAGCCAGGGCTATGAAGAGAAAAACTTTAAAGAACAAAACGAAAAACTATAGACAGCAGAGATCCTGCCTGAGGGCTATAGTTTCTCAAAAGTCCGCTCTGGGCCCACAGTTTTAAACAAGGTGAAATTGCTGGTTTTACAGTGTGTCCTGCAGTACTGCAGAGTCAAAATTGAACTTCTTCATAACCCTAAACAGGCCTGATTCACAGCCACAGTGTGCTGTACCCTCTCTATTCATTGGAGATATGTGTGACTGTCTGTGTGCCTTAACGTACCTGCTGAGGTGAATGGAGGATTCAGAGCTCTTAGTCAGGCTTGGTGGGTTTCACCACCACAAACAGAAGGGGCAACATGAGGCACCTGTCCTTTGAACCACAAGGGAGTCTGGTAAGCTAAAACAAGTCCAGGAATGTTGATCGTCAGAGGAGTGTTGCTGAACTCCTCGTCTGCCAGGTGGCCCATGGTTGTGGTACAAGACAAGCAAGGGTACTGACACTGGCCTGTTCTCTTTTAACAGTTCATGCAAAGAGGCCTGGACTCGGAAACCAAGAAGCAACTAGAAGAGGAGGAAAAGAAGATGATCAGCGATGAGCACTGGTACCTGGATTTGCCAGAGTTCAAGGAGAAAGAGTAGGTTGTTTGGGGTTTAGAACAGTGGGTTGGGGAGCCCTGTGGCACTGGCTCATCCTTTTGGTGTGACGCTTTCTCTTCTTCTAAAAACTGTCAACCTGTGTACCCCACAGGGACTCAAACGAAGCCCCTGAAGTGGTTATATGCTTGGGCCCAACCAGCTTTGTTTCTTAACAGTCCTCAGCAGGTCAGGCAGGGGTTGTCTGTCTGTCTGTCTGTCTGTCTGTTTGTTTTAATCAGTACTGCGTTTAATTCCATTCATGTCACAAACACTGCTGCATTGGCAGTTTGCTCTGGGCTAAGCATTTCATATCTTTTAGTTAATAATTACTCACAGAAATACACAAGTGCCCAGGACCATTGTGTCTGTTTTGCTCTTGAGGAAATGCGCTTAGGAGCACTGTTCGCTCGGTGCTACCTGCTTGGCGGGACTGAAGCTGGGTAACTCCAGAGACAGTTTTCCTTCCACTTGGACTAGTGCGTGAAAGAGTCAATTCAGAGAGAAGTAGATTTATCTCATCTGTTTGTCCAAATCCTGGAAGTTGTATCTCCTTTTTGCTTGTTCATTTCTTTCCTCAGCATGCTTTTTTATTTACTTACACTTTTGTAAAGTGGCTGAAAGTTTCACATACCGTTTTTAGGCACGTACATGTCTGTCCGTTTTACCCCAGCTAATTTGCTGTTTGGTTGGCCATGTTGTTGTTCTCCTCTGCATTTTCTGACTTTTCTCTGGTCCCTTTGGGATGAAGTATTCTCCTGGGAAGGAAGCATGCAGACTGCGCAGAGTGATGAGACGTCACTTTCAACTCTGTGTGCTTCTTAAAGGCCCAGAGTATGGGTCAAGAGGGAGATGGTGTACATAGGAGAGGACGAGGAGGTGGAGATGAGCACAAAGGCGCCTGGAGAGTGTGTATAGGAGTGTCCAGAGGGGAGGGGACTAGCACAGATGAGGATGTAGGGACGGTGTGAACAGGAGTGTGCAGGGGCACTGGCACAGATGAGCATCCCAGGGGCGGTGTGTACAGGAGCATGCAGGTGGAACTAATACAAGTGAGAGGCAATCATTTGGTTTTGTGTGTTTGTTGAGTTTGCACAAAATCTTTCAAGTATTTCCCAAAGGATGGGACAGTTCTGCCTCGTTTGGGATACTAGTTTTTCCCAGTATAGCATGCAGTCCTCAGTTCTCAGTTCCCAGGATTGCTTTCCTGGGAAAATGGGGCATAAGTAGCTTTTCACCTTGTAATGCCATCGCATGGAGACAGGCTGAGGGGAGAGCATGGTGTAGGATCTGCTTCCTTCCTGTGCATTGTTTGACGGTCAGCACCGCCTGTGCTGAGAACAGATGTCTCAGGAAAGCAGCGACTGGTCCCCTCGGGTATTGCTGCTGTGTGTCATCATCAGGGTCGGTCTCCTTTCCCGTGTTGGCTAACAGCAAGTTATTTAAGAGAGAGTCACATGATTGTTGTTCTCTGTTAAAATGCCAGAAATTACATTAACCTCTGAATAGGAAAAACATCTATTTTTTTGTGTCAGGAGAGAAAAGGCCTTGCTCTGTCAGCCTTCAACTCCTGGTCCTCCCGCGTGGGCTTGCTGAGTGCTGGTATATTTAGTCTTATTTTTCTAGTTCTGTTCTAGAGTTTTTATGAATAATTTGTGCCTTATTCATAAACAATGTAGCCTGTATATTGTCTGTAATGCCTTTGATTTGGACCATAGGACCAGTTGCTAAATGTTAGGACCTGCTTTCTTTTCCTAGTTTGTATAAAACTGAGGATAGTCCATTGTTTCTTCTCAAGTGTTGGTCAGATTTCCGAAGTGAAGTAATCCGAGATCCAAAATATTCTCATCCAGAAGATTTTCCTAATGAATTCTGATGCGTTTTCTGCAATGGACTGTGCTCTGTCTTTGAAGCAGTGTCTTATTCTACATTTGGGACTAGTCTCCTGCTTCAGCCTCTGAGTCCTGGGGTCACCGTACTGCTTCCTGTCATGCTCCGGGTAGTTTCCTTCTTCAGCTAGTTTTTTTTTTTTTTTTTTTTTTTTTTTTTTTTTTTTTTTTTTTTTTTTTTTTTTTTTTTTTTTTTTTTTTTTTTTTTTTTTTTTTTTTTCTTGGTTGTAGAGTTCATATCTCATACTTTTTTTTGCAGTTTTTCACTTAAAATTTGGGTTTCTTAATGGTTTCTTTTGCGTTCACATTTTCATTGAAATTCTTGAGCATGTTTATAATAAAATTATAGTTATTAAATTACTTTTTAACTAATTCTGCCATTTCTGTTGTTATTCTTCTGTCCATGAGGACTGACTGCTTTCCTGCTTCCTTGCATGTCTAGGGGTAGGTGTGTAAGTGTGTGTGTGTGTGTATGTGTGTGTGTGTGTGCGCGCGCGCGCATGTGTGAGAGAGAGAACAGTGTTGACTCTGACTTCAGTTGTTTTCATTAATGAAGTGTTGGATTTTGTTCTGTTAGACAGTTGACTGGAATGCTGGTAAGCTTGCTGTTTCCGTTAAAGTGACTTTTCTCATTTTTGCTCTGGCTAAATTAGTCATACTCCTAGTTAGGGCCTTTCCTCCAGGCCTCACAGGGGTTCAGCTTGATCGCCTCTCCTTGGCTGGACAGAACCCAAGTATCCAAGTATCCCCTGTGCGTTGTAGCATTTGTTCAGTGTACATGGCAGGATACACTTCATTTCCCAGATGCAGTTGGCTAGAAAACACCCCTGTCCCAAATAATAAATACCCAGGACTTCATCTCTCAAGTGTGTACCCTGAGGCTGAAGCAACGTGCTCCTGTGGCCAGGGTCTTTAGGTGGGAGGTGATCCTATACTATCTGGGTACACCCTACGTAAGCATTATGTTTTCTGGCATGCTAGTCAGGTTTTCGTTGCTGTAATGAAGTGTCTGAGACTGGGTGAAGAAGGAGAGAGATTTATTTAGCTCACAATTCTGTAGAGTCACGGATGTGACAACTGGTATCAGCTCAGTTCTGTCGAGAGCCTGGTGTGGACAAGCTTCTCAAGTCAGGAAGCCAGAGACACAGGTCGGGCTAGGCTTTTATAAACTCTGGAAACCAGCATTTTTTCCCCCTAAATGCAGTGTCCTTGGTGGCTTCCTACTAGGGGCTCACATCGTAAACGTTCTATCACTCACTCTCACATAGCCTCACTAGAGACCAAGCCTCCCCGACATGGGCCCTTGGAGGACCAACCATAACACCTTGTCAGAGAGAAAGAAGGTCCTGACCACAGAGGTAAGGCCTGGAGTGGTATGGCCCCTGGCAAGTAGTACTGGCTACACCACCAGCTGGAAAGGCCATTGTCTCTGGGGTCACAGTCCTGCTCCAGCCTTGATTTTGACTTGTCTCCAGAGTGAGCTGGAGTTGGTCACAGAATTTATGCTGTGAGAGCCTAAGTTTACAGTGGCTTAAGCTACCAACATTGAAGTAGCCATTATGACAGCTGCAGAAAGCCGCTGTAGCACAGTGCTGTCCTCCTGGAAGCATGTCGTCATTAGTCATGGACACACCGTGTGGCGGGAGACTTACAGACATCTCACAGCCAGTCCCTTTCCCTCATCCTGACCCACACAACCTAGCCACCTCTGTGGTCTTGAACTGGGTTTGCCTCTCCAGTTCAGCATGCCAGCTCTGTTTGCCTGCTCCCAATGGAGAGCCTCCTTCACTTGGCGTCTCTTCACAGTGTCATGCCCTATGCATTCTGTGGTTCTTTGTGGAAATACTTGTATTCAGTGTCATCTTGTTGGCGATGGTAGATGTGCTGATTGAGTGCAGTCCTGCCCTCTGTGGCCTGGAACCGGATGACCTGTGTTGTTGCACCCATGTGATGTACATGTTGGCTTTTCTGGCACCCTGTGTGGACCAGGACATTCACGAGAGCAGAGTCCTCGAGCGCAGAGGTTCTTTCCTTCCTGCCTGCTGCACAGCCCCTGGACACCCCTGTGCATGATTGTGAGCGTAGGCAGAGCCTCGTTCCTGACGAGAAGCGGAGCAGAGTCCACAAAGAGTGTCTGAGCCTGGGCCCTGGCTGGCTTGCTGGACAGTGTGCTTACCTGAGGTGTGGGTCTTGAACCAGCGACTAAAGAATCACTCTTAGAGAGCAACACACTGTGGTCTGTTCCCAGGGGTCTTTGTACCCATGATGTCTATGCTTTGCCTTGCTAAGTCATCTCAGTGAAAAGAATCAGACTAACTTTGTAACCTATGTTTCTTTTAATTGCCTTATAATTTATATTTGCAAGTTTTAGGCCCATGTTAATTAAAGCCTCTTAGTGCTTCTCCAGAGAACCGAGGAATGTAAAAGTTCCTGACATTAGCCATTTGTGAGGGCAGAGATAAGAAAGAGAACAAGCAGAGATCTCTACTAAATGGAAAAAAAAAAAAATCACCGGCTAGCGCCGGTGAGATGGGCTTTGTTTGGAAACTGGGCCAAATGGCCCCAAGCCTTCTCCTGACCTTTGATCCAAAGCCTGTAACCCCCACTCCTCAGAACAGACATGGGATGAGTTAATCCGCCTCCCACATTTAACTGTGGATGGCAGGAAATTCCAAACTGACTTGAAGATCAGATATTTACAACAGGGCTGACTAGACCTAAGGGTGACCCGAACTAACCAATTATTTTAAAAGTTAAACATTTCATCCAATCCTAAATTGCCAAGAAGTCAACCCCACAAGGAGATTCCCGCCTTGTGTCTTTTAAAAACCTAAGGTCTTTGTCTCCCGGGGCCACTCCTAGCTGACCAGCAGGGGTAACCCCATTGTACAATGGTCACGAAGAGTCTCTTGCGTTTTTGCATCGATGGATGATTAGTTTCCTGAGTTCTCTTCATACCTTCTTATATTTAGGCTCTTGCTGGGCCTAACATCAGCAGCTGCAGTTTGTTCTGAAGCATCATTTCCGGTCCTGCTGGTCCAGCTTTCCAATTGTCACAAGCTCTTTCTCTGCTGAAGCATGAGCCTTTTAGGACAGTCTTCAGTCCTTGGTGCTTACAACCAAGAGCTCCCCTCAGTCGGGCCTTCTGTGAGAGGGGTGCAGGCCTGATGTCTCTCCTCCTTGCCCTCTGTTTTAATTGCTCTTCTACTCCTGAATATTTAATGAGTACTTGGGGTCGTACAGGAGTCATGTATTTTGCTTCAGCTGTGGAGGTTTATCAAGAATCTTAAGGTCTTCATGTGGTGTAATTATTTGCAGAAATGGGAGGAAGCCATGCCTACGCGAGTGGCCCTCATCTCCCAACACCTTTGCTGGCCAGATGATGAGCTTTTACTTCTAACTCTGGGTAGAGCTCCCACTGTGCTCCCGCTTGCTCCTTCTGAGACCGGAACATGGATTTTCATCTGGTCTTGACCTCTGCTTTGCTCTTGCTTATGAGCAAAAGTGCTGTTAACACAGGTTTCTTATCCTGCTCAGGAGTTTCATCATAGAAGAGCAGAGCTTCTCCCTATGTGAAGATCTTCTCTATGGAAGGATGTCATTCAGAGGATTTAATCCCGAAGTTGAGGTATTAAATATAATTGCTTCAAATTTAAAAATTTTTTTCCAATTGAATTTTTTCCTGCCAATAATTGAGCTTCAGTCTCTCCCCCACCAGGTACCATTTCTCCTCATTATATAAAAAAATAACAAGTCTTGAAATATTGCCATAGCTATTTAAAGAAATTGCAGCGTGGCAGTCTGGTTTTATGGAAGAATTGAGTGGGTAATTTAATATAGCAGTGTGCGGTCCCTGACGCTGCCACTGTTAAAGTTTCAGCTCAGTCTTTTACAGGAATGTCAAGACTGTTCATCTGAGATGCTATTATAGAAGTTATTTTCTAGCATCTGTAAATGTCTGCTTTTTAATGGAAAAAATGCTACTTAAAAATGCTATCGTTTGACTTTGTAATGGACAGGTTGTAATCCAAGCTAGTAAATATATATCTTTACATCTTTTTTTAAAGTGAATCTCTTTTAACGTCTATTTGAAAAATGAATGCTCACCTTGTGACTGGGCTGTTGGCTGAACCTGACTCAGGTTCACAGAAAAACAGCGCATTATCACATTTACAAGAACTCTGGTGCCTACGTTGAGAGCCCTCCTGTGGGATTAGTCTACACAGCTATGTAGTGTAAACTTATAGTTTGTACCACTTTAGCCACAGTTCTTGGCTCTGTGCATTGGGGCTAGCTTATACGGTGGCTGTCCTGGACGCTAAAGGATGATCTAGACTACCCCCAGGCCTCTGGCCTCCACCCACTAAATGCCAGTAGCACCCGTGCTTTCTGTAAGTCAGCTCTGATGACTAAAAGTGTATCTACCCATTGTCATCTGTCCCTTGATGGGCAAAACATTCCCAGATGAGACTCACTTTTCTGGATGCCTCTGAAAAACCGCAGTCACCTAGGTCAACACCAAAGTTTATTTAAAGGTAGAAAGGTGGTTTGGGGGTTGTTATTTTTGTGGGGATACCTGGAGTGTGCATTATAATCAAGGTGCTAAATTTACAGAGTCCCCACTAGCCAAGTTTGAGTGTAGTGTTCATTTTCTCTGCCCCAGCCTCCTTTAATATTTAAGAGGGCGGGAGACTGAAAACCAAAAGGAAGCAGACATTTGGGGCTTATGACTCTGTTGTCCAAAGAATGGGGTTTAGATGGACAAGTTTCCTAATGTGCCTCCTCTATAGGAAAGTTCAGATATGACAAGTCAGAATTTGGTATGAGAAGTGGTCAGAAAATAGCCCGAGTCACTAGACTCTAACTTGGACTATGTTCTCTCTCAGCAAAGGTTTTTATCCGTCCTGTCTGTGTTTGCCAATGCTGAGGTATACTTTCCTCAGCTTCCCTTTGCTATGAAGAAACTACTGTTTATAAGTTTGTCAGAAAATCACAATTCTGAGGAGGATAGTGTGAAAGAAGGAGATGAAGGAGAAGCACTCAGGGACACCATCTGAGACACACTGTCCTGAAGTGTGTGGGAACCTTCCACCTCCATCTGTGGTGGCTAGCCCCACCCCCACCCCACCCCCTTAGATGTATCCAGACTTCCTGCTTTGGCTATACTTTTTCCATTTGGCTCAAAGTAAGTCCAAAGGAAATGGGAAGGCTATTTTTCTTTACCCTCTCACTGTCAGCTGTGATTATGAATGACAGGTAGAGTTTATGTTCTAAAATGACAGCATACCTGGCCCTGAGCACAGCTGTTCTAGGGACTCTGAGCTGCTGTTGGCACTCATGGCATAAAGTTTTACACAGAGCCACATGTGGGTTCTGTCCAGTCTCACAGGGGACTCTGTGACTAGTGTCTCTGCCTGCAGACAACCTTGACACCAGCTCCTCCCCGTGCCTCCCTGACGGCTAGCATTGCTGTGTTTTTCAGAAGTTAATGCTTCAGATGAATTCTAAGAACAAAGCAGCAGCAGAAGAAGATGAGACAGCTGAGGTCGATGTGTCGGACGAAGAAATGGCAAGAAGGTAACCGTGCTAGGGGCTATTGTAATGTCCTCCGGGTGCTCCGACTACACGGTCCATGGAGCTGTAATCCTAGTGCTCAGTGGGGGCCGGTGCACACTCTGCCTGCTCCTAATGGCCCAGTGGCTTCATGCTGGGGCACGCTGGCCGTGAGGGCTCCTTTCCAGTGTTGGCCCAGTGACTGCAAACGGGGAGATACAGAAACAAAACCAGCGGAGAATTAAATTGTTCTTAGCCAACTGCGAGGATTTTTAAACCATGCAGTCCCTTTTCATCATAAAATTTGTTTTTCTTGTTACATGTGGCTTGATGTTTTTGGCAAGCCTTGATTTGTACTTTTTTTTATTATTATTTGAAATTTATGCTGTGTGTCATCCTAACAGATATGAGACTTTGGTGGGAACAATTGGAAAAAAGTTTGCCAAGAAGAGGGACCGAGCCAATTATGAAGAAGATGAAAACGGAAATATAAAACCCATTAAAATGAAGAAGATGTTCTTAAAGCCCCAAGATTAAAATGGATGCAGATACAGCGGATGCCTATGGGTACAGCCTGCTTTGAGCCCATCTTTGTGCCATCTGTAGTGGCTAATACTCTAATGTTTACCTGTAAAGAAATGTATAACTTTGCAATGTGCTGTTCTTGAGACAGATGTGTAATGGATGTTATACATCCTTTTTACAGCATTCTTCAGGGGCTTCGCATGTGTAGGCACAGGCCGCTCCCTAGAGTTTTGACCTGATTTTGTGTGTGTATACACACAGACAGGACATACACATAGTTCTCCATTTATTGTCCTGGAATGACTGTTATAAACTAACTATTGCCATTGTTTAAACTGTCCTTATATTTATATTTTACTTTCTGAATCATGTCAAGCCAATTCACACATTTACTTCAGAATCAAATGTTCTCCAGGAACAGACCTGCATTTACCCTGAAGTGTTTGCATGCTGTCAGATCTTTCTCATTTGTAGTAGTATGGGTTTTCTTTATTTAAGGCAATCAATTGGGTCATTTTTCTAATGTTCTGTAATAAACATCTGTTTTCATATACTCTTCTGTTTTCTTTGAAATAATTTTAGTCTTACTCAGTAATACAATCTTATGCAAATAATAATTTATAAAGACTAGCCATTAGTTGAGAATATACTAATCTTTATGATTGAACCATAAATGGTTTCCTTTTATCAGTCAAGAACAATTGCCAGTTTCTTAGGATATAGCCCTAAATATTTAGCACTGACTAGACCCTATTCCAAATCCATCAGCACACAGAATTAAGTGTCTTTCTCTCTGTGTGTTCAGAGATACGTGCTGAGGGCTTCTAACAACTATTGATTTCGTTTAGTTTTGTTACGAGTGATTAGTGAAGGACATATCTCTCTCTAGATCTCAGTAGACTCTAGTTGTTATGTGACCTCAGCTCTGTGATCTATATGTCAACCTTACTATTCCGTCAGGAATACTTAGGTAGGCCTGTGATCAAAGAGATAAAGTGAGTGCCCTAGACTCTATTCCTATACCCTCTGGAATTCTGCTCACTCTGAAGGTACTTTTTGAACAACAGAGACTTTCAGTTTATTAAGTAGAAATAGCAGTGGGTTGAGTTATGTCTAGAAGCATTTTGTGTGTGTCAGCCTAGTGACCCAAGGGGAGAACTGTAGCAGACACGAAACTATGCCTTCTCAAGTCTGAGTTTGCCCTCTATCTGTGGTCACCCTTAGGTGTGGGGGAGGCTCTGTGTCGGAGTTCTTGAGGGTACCACATCTGAGAATGCATGAGCACCTAACAGCAGTACAGGATGAACACCGTCCCCGCATTAGAAACAGGACTGAGTCCAGTATGGGTGCAGAAGTCATCCTTACACTGTATTGTTTGGGTATAACAAGAAAGGCAGCATCAATATCCAGAATATATGAAGAACTAAAGAAGTGAAAAAGCAATAAATCAAGTAATCCAATTAAAAAATTCGGTACAGAGCTAAACAGAGAATTCTCTGTAGAGGAATATTGAATGGCAGAGAAACAAAGAGATGCTCAACATCCTTAGCCATCAGGGAGATGCAAATCAAAACGACCCTGAGGTTTCACCTTACACCCATCAAAATAGCTAAAATCAAAAACTCAAATGACAACACATGCTGGAGAGGTTGTGGAGAAAGGGGAACCCTCCTCCATTGCTGGTGGGAATGTAAACTGGTACAACCACTTTGGAAGTCAATCTGGCGCTTTCTCAGACAATTAGGAATAGTGCTTCCTCAAGATCCAGCTATACCACTGCTAGGCATATACCCAAAATTTGCTCAAGTACACAACAAGGACATTTGCTCAACCATGTTTGTATCAGCTTTATTTGTAATAGCCAGAACCTGGAAACAACCCAGATGTCCATCAACGGAGGAATGGGTACAGAAATTGTGGTATTTTTATGCAATGGAATACTACTCAGCAATCATAAACGAGGAAATCATGAAATTTGCTGGCAAATGGTGGGATCTAGAAAAGATCATTCTGAAAAAAAAAAGAATTTGCATTCATTTCATTCACTGGCCTTTAAACAAATGATGAATAAATTTGCCCTTCTTTAAAAAAAGAAAGGAAAAAAAAATTATTATGAGTGAACTATCCCAGAAAGAGAAAGACACGTGGTATATACTCACTTATATAGACCTATGAGATATGATAAGCATAATGAAATCTATACACCTAAAAAAGATAAATTAGAAAGAGGACACGGGGTAAGATGATCAATCCTCACTTAGAAAGACAAATGGGATGTGCATTGGATGTAGGAGAAAACAAGTAACAGGACAGCAGCCTACCGCAGAGGGCCTCTGAAAGACTACCTAGCAGTGTATCAAAGCAGATACTAAGACTCATAACCAAACCTTCAGCAGAGTGCAGGGAATGATATGAAAGAAGGGGTAATTAGTATGATGTGGAAAGGATAGGAGCTCCACAAGGACCAAATATATCTGGGCACAGGGGTCTTTTCTGAGACTGACACTCCACCAAGGACCATGTATGGATATAACCTAGAATCTCTGCTCAGATGTAGCTCGTGGTAGCTCAGTAACCAATTGGTTTCCCATAGTAAGGGGAACAGTGACTATTTCTGACAGGAACTCAATGACTGGCTCTTTGGCCTCCCCACCCCCCAAGGGAGGAGCAGTCCTGCTAGGCCACAGAGGAGGACTTTGCAGCCAGTCCTGAAGATACCTGATAAAACAGGGTCAGATGAAAGGGGAGGAGGTCCTCCCCAAGCAGTGGACTTGGAAAGGGGCAGGGACGAGATGAGGGAGGGAGGGTGGGATTGGGAGGGAATGAAGGAGTGGGATACAGCTGGGATACAGAGTTAATAAAATGTAACTAATTATAAAAATTAAAAAAAAAAAAGGCAGCATCTTCAACACAGGCACAACTTTATTCCCTGAACTGTTTATTTTAGACAGGGTCTTACTATGTAGACCTGGCTGGCCAGGAACTTGCTATGGAAACCAGGCTAACTTCAGACTCACAAAGATCTGCCTGCCTCTTCCTCCCCAGTGCTAGAATTAAAAGTAGGGGCCAACACATCATGAATATTTTTTTAGTTTGGTTGGTTGGATCACAGATACTGATCCCGTGGGTACAGGGGTCCAGTCATACCTGGCCTTTGGGGCTGAGCAAATTGGAGCATTTCTCCAGCGCCAACCAGCTCCTGAGATACAACAGTAGAGCTGAAAGGGAAGGCTGGATGAAATCCGCTGAGTCCTTTCACGTGCTTCTTCTCTGGTTTCTGTTCTTTGTCCCCACGGTTGTTCACACCAGTTTAGTGTGCCCTACACACCAAAACAGCCCGTGGCATCCCTTCAGGGCAGGGCTCTGGCAACCCATCCCAGTGCACCAACTAAAGAGAAGAAATGGGAAGAAGCAGAAAAAAGACATTGATTTCAGTGTGTCCACATTGAGAAGGAAAGGGGTAAAAGGAAACAAGGACAACAAGGACTTTGAACCATTGTAAAACCAGACTCAAGACAGTGATCCACAAGAACACGCCTTGACTCAGACAGCCTAACTATGCAGACCTCTTGCCCGGCCCGATTCTTGCTTTTTAAGCCTGAACTACTCAAAGACTCTGGAAATCACTAGACTCTTACCGGTTTACATTGAGATCACTTCTGCTCCAGGGTGCACAGCCTTGCCATCAAGGACAACAGAATTAATTATGGGTGGGGACCAGACTGTTGCTTTTTGTACCTCTGGAAGTCTAAGGTGACTTGCCAGTTTAAGATAATGGCTTACCTTCAGCTTTTAACAGGAATGAGATGGGTCAGGTAGACAGACACTGCATTGCTTCACACATCTCTGCAGAGTCAAGCAGGAGCCTAGGCCTCAAAGAGATGAATGGACTGAAGGTAAAGATGCCATGGTCTGTCTTGCTTCTAGACCTCTTGTGGGCTCCATTGATTTTTGGCAGCAGTTTCAAGGGCTTGTTACAGCATGGCTGGCATCCAGTTCCCACTCTGATGATGTCTGCTGAGTACCATGGCCCATGGCCCCCATTCAACACCGGGGCTCTGGATTTGACTGAGCATCAGCATCTCATTTAATGTCAGAGTCTCAGCTGCTAAATACCCAGGCTTCCACCCCTCTCCTGGGGGTGGCAGCTTCTGGCAGGACCCTCCTTGTTCTTTTTTCCTTAGTACTTCAGTGTCCAATTCTTTGTTTTGAATTTCCTGTTAAAGTAAGGACAGTGAAGGAACTAGCACAAATTATGCCAAATTGGACTATTGTTTGAAGACCTGCAACTTTTTGAAGGGCCTGTTTGGCCTGTCTTCCTTACACAGGAAGCCATAAAAAAAAAAAAAAAATGGGCAAGAATGCCTCCACGTGCCAATGCTGGAAATCAACCTCAATCACCAGAGAAAGAGAATTAGGACTGCAGTGTCCCCAACATAAACCTCTGTCATCATGGACATTGCTGAGGAACACTGACTACAATGGACCTGTGAACAGACAGAAAATTCTATTGAAAGCATAGCCATCCTTTCACTCGTGTATACATTCAGTGACATTCCATGGGCTTCTACCCTCTACATAGGACATCACCAGAATTTATACTGCCCAACCCCAGATCTTCACTTTTGTCACCCTTTCCCACAAGCTCTTAGTCCAAATGGTATAGAAACATCACGCATTGGTTATTTCTGTGGACTCCTCTCTGAAGCCTCTCATGGACATGCCAACTTAACAAAGCTATTGAGCAGGGTGGTGCGTGACTGTTAATGCCAGCACTCAGGAGACAGAAGCAAGATGGTAGGTTCATTGCCAACCTAGGTCAAAAAGCGAACACCAGGCCAATTTGGGCTTCATAGTAAGGCTTTGTTTAAAAGTGGGAAAGGAACACTGAATTTAAACATGGGCCAGGGGTAAACACTAGGAAGATGGACACAATGGTTTGGCCATCCAGTCAATGGGTAGTAATATATTAGGCCGGTATTTGCTGCTGTAACCTAGCAATCCTGCCTTGGCCTCCTAAATGCTGAGATTATGGGTGTGGATACACCTGGCATAAATACTTGTTTAATAAGTGAAGAAATTTGGAAGCCTAACAAGCCATTTAAGCCACAGTGCTGTGCAAATAACCAACCAAGCAATGAAGCGAAAGCTACTTAGCCCGAACTTGTACCATCCCCAAACCACTTGCGGTTTTGGCAGAGCCTCAAAGGCAGGGCAAGGAATGGAAATACATTAGCATGGAAAGGAAGGCAGGGTGCAGGTGTGCGCTGTTTGGAGCTGCTTGGCATGAGGAAGCCGAAGTTACAAGGGGACACCCTCTGTGAGTGATTCAAAGTGCATGTTTGACTTCGTCCGATGGCAGGGACAAAGAATATAGAACATGGCATCTAAGTCCCGCCTTGCCCACATGACCTACTGCTGCAAAGTTAGAGCTTAGCTAGGTCGCATGGAAATTTTGTTTTCAGTTTATGAGCAACCCCCATGCCTATTGCTATAGTAGCTACACCAGTTTACACTCCTACTAGCAATGAATTGGTAGGGTTCTCTTTCT